GGCTTCTGTTGAGGAGTCTGATGATAGGCTGATGGGTTTTCCTTTGTAGGTGACCTTTTTTTTCTCTCTGGCTGCCTTTAATACTCTGTCCTTGTCCTTGATCTTTGCCATTTTAATTATTATGTGTCTTGGGTTGTCCTTTTTTGGTCCTTTCTGTTGGGAGTTCTGTGTACTTCCGTGGTCTGAGCAACTATTTCCTCCCCCAGTTTGGGGAAGTTCTCAGCAATTATTTCTTCAAAGACACTTTCTATCCCTTTTTCTTTTTCTTCTTCTTCTGGTACCCCTATAATGCAGATATTGTTCCTTTTTGATTGGTCACACAGTTTTTTTAATACTGTTTCATTTCTGGAGATCCTTTTATCTCTCTCTGCATCAGCTTCTATGCGTTCCTGCTCTCTGGTTTCTATTCCATTAATGGCATATTTCATCCTGTCCATTCTGCTTTGAAGTCCTTCCAGGGATTGTTTTATTTCTGTAGTCTCCCTCTGTACTTGCTCCTTTAGCTCTTGCATATTTTTCTGCAGATCCATCAGCATGTTTATGATTTTTATTTTGAATTCTTTTTCAGGGAGGCTGGTTAGATCTATATCCGCAGGTCCTCTCTCAGGGGTTGTCTGGACTATTTTGGATGGGACTAAATTCTTCTGCCTTTTCATGGTTATAGCAGTGGCTGTAGGCAGGTAGTGAGTGTGTCAGCTGGGAGAAGAAAGTCCTTTCCTGCTTGCTGGATGCCTTACCCTTCTGTGCTGCCTGTGTCGGTTACCTGCTCTCCTGGAGTAGCCACCGGGTTAATCCCCGAAGCTGTGGTGGGTGGGGTCTCCATCAGAGTAGTGCAGAGCCCTGTGGGGAGTGGCAGGCATGCTGGGTGTGCTCCCCTATGAAAGTGGCACCCCTGCCAGGCAGCTGTGTGCCAGCAGCGGTCTTTATGTCTGGCCCGGGTGGCTGTGCGTCGGTCTGGAATTCCGGGTGACTGCTGGGGGTGTGGCTGCTCCGGGCCGCTCCTCCGTCACCGCCGGGTCCTGTGGGCCGCTCCTAGGCCTCTCTGGTGTTGCTGCTGCCTGCGCACGCAGGCCACACTTGGGCCCCTCTGGCACTGCCACAGGCGCGTGTAGGCCTCTCCCATGCCCCTCTGGTGCCACCGCTGCCAGCACGTGCGGGCCTCTCCCGGGCCACTCAGTCGCTGCTGCAGCGGGCTCACATGTGCCTCTCCTGGGCCCTTGTGGCGCCATGGCCCCCAGTGTGCGCCGGCTGCTCCCGGGCTGCTCGGTGCCAGCCGCCATGGGCTCGTGTGGGCCTCTCCTGGGTCCCTCTGGTGTGCGGCCACCAGCGCGTGCTGCCGCTCTCCCACTACTGGGTCGGTGTGTCGGGGTCCGCGCAAGTTAGGGGAACGACTGGCAGGCTGCTTATTGCAATGAGGGACTTCAGAGCTGCACTGCCACCCAGGGGTTTAGGGCGCCTAACGTTCCCCGGGATTCCCAGGTGCTGGTTAAGTGTGCCGGGACAACTTTGTCAAGCTGTGGGGTCCCTGTCTCTTTAAGATTTGCAAAAAGCACTTGCTTTTCTTTTGTCTCAGGGCCGCCAGTTGCGGCGACCTGCCCACAGGTTTTGCTTTTCCGTTTCTCTAATATCCAGCACCCCATGCACTGTGTGTCTGCACTCCAGGTGCAGAGTTCTAGAGCTGGTTGTTTAGTCGTCCTGGGCTTTCATTCCCTCCCTGCTCTGACTCCTTTCTTCCTGCCGGGTTCTGGGGTGGGGGGGTGTTCGGGTCCCGTTGGGCTGTGGCTTGTATCTTACTCCCTTCGTGTGATGTTGAGGTCTCGCAGATATAGATGTATCCTGGGTGTTGTACTGTATCCACTGGTATCTTTTTTAGGAATAGTTGTATCTATGTATTTTCATAAATATATATGTTCTGCCACCATCTTGGCTCCACCCACCTCAAGGCTTGAGTTTTAAATGAGTGACTCATACAACTAGTAATAAGAATGCTAAGTCATTGTCTTATTAGAACAGAGTAATTGGAAACAGTGTCAAAGATGATTCTCTTTGGATATTTTACCACTACAGCGCTGGGTGGAAATGGTGATTTGCCTTCTCTGAAGAACTTACAGATCTAAGTGGCTCTGGGGACCAAATCTCCTGGTTCTTTCAAAGAAAGGGGCGGCATAAAGAAATCCTAAATTCAGTCAATTAGAGTGTATTCACTGGGAATGTACTTCAGCTACAGAATCATTATCATTGAAAAAGAATTTAGTGAACACTTGCATACTGTGCTAAATAAATATTATGTACTTAAAACCTATCTATAATAATCAGGAAAGTAGCTTCTTTACTTTTTATTCTAAGTTACATAACAGAAGGTGGTTTTTATTATACTGACAATTATAGGGGAAAAATAATTTTCCTTTACCATATGAATACTTGGCCAAGACCCCTGTAATAAAACACATATTAACAAAAAAACACAAGCTTATTAACATGTATAGCTTGTGTATACATGGAGAGACCCAGGACAAATGAGCAACTGTCTGAGGTAGCTTAGAATTCAGAATTAAATTCCATCTTAGGCTCCTAAGGGGAGAGTAAATGATTTTCAGGAAAGATAAATGGGCCCTTAGAAGACTACACAGGAGCTACGATAGTTTGTCATGAAGTCTGAGTGTGGTGTCTCTCTCTGACAATCGTCCATTTTCCCTGGTTGATAAAATTTCCAGGGAAGGGATATATATGACAACTGAGCTCCTTTTGGAGGATCTATCTTTGGGCAAATAAAGGTAGGTGAGGGAAAGCCTCTTTCTCCATTTGTTGTTTTCTAAGTGCCAACAGCTTAAAATATCAACATACTGAAGTGGCATATTTTAGGATGGCATGCTCTGTTACCCTTCACAACATAAATAAAAGGGAAAAACATGTTTCATGTGGGGAGAAATGAAAAAAGAATAGCAGAACCCTCATTGATATTAATACTTCAAAATGGAGCTTTGACCAATAGACAACTAGTAAATTTTTTAGACATATTAACTAAGTTAAACTTTAAAAAAATATATCACTTTATATGAAATTACTCTATTTATCCTAGGCCTTGTATGAGCTCTGTGACTAGTCATGCCAAGTTAGTTTCTTAGAGAATAGTTCTGGAGCTCATCTGACTGGAAAAAGCACATGAATTTTTCATACCTTTAAGGCAGGATGGAAGGAATGCACTTCCAGATTCACAAAGGCTAAGAATACTAGCTCTAATAAGGACTTAACATAATACCCTGTTCCCTAAACAAATGCAAAACTATCAGAAAAGGAGATACAGATTAACTTGTATCTTCTTACCATTTTCACTGAACTTTGCTTCTTACAAAAAAAAAAAAATGCTTTGGGCATGATGTTCCATGAAAAAATAAGTCAGCAAGTTGTTATGGGGCAAGGAGAATTTTCCACAGGTCAAATAAAGAACAGAAGAAATTTAATGCTGCTGGATTGCTGGATGCCCTTGACCACAATTTTAATAATAAGCTTGTTTCCTAATGTCATAATTTCTGAACTTACTGTTCTTTAGAAACATCTTGTGAGAAAACTCCAGTAGTAAAGTTCATGTGATAAATTATGTTGACAATATTATTACATAGTGTGGGATTTAAGAAACTTTTTACAAGTACTTTTTGAGTTGCTATTATATGCTTCTCAGAATAAACTTAGCTCCTTTCTTAAGATGCTTTTCATTGGAAGTATTCCTTTCAAAACTTATGTTCTTATTTATCAAGTAATTAGGGATCAACATTGGGTAACACGGTATTACCCCATTTTATTCAAAATATGTATTGATATATATGTAATTTAAAGCCATTTTTGTATGTCAATTATGACTTGAATAAGAAGGGTGTTAAGAAACTCTCTCAAACCTCAAAGTTAAGCCACTGAGTTGGCATTCTCATGTGATCCCATTTCTGTCTATAAATAATTGGGGCAAGAAAGCACCTGGACCTTCTCTTCCAGTTTTTGAAGGAAAGCTTTGTTGGCATCTTTGCAATTAACTATATTTAACTCAGTAAAGAGACTGAGTCAATTACATTATTTAATTTTCTTGAATTTGACAGTTTTCTTGGGCTTTTTCCTCTTAAATTCCACCTCATGCTTCTGTTTGATATGCCAATATTTCCTTTCTAATCTTCCTAATTTTTATCATTCATTCCATATGTAAATAGTACTGTTGCCTTTAATATTTTGTGATCATACTATTAAGAGAATGTTACCCTGTGCTTCTGATTCCAAGTTAGCTTGCATCTAAGATTCTCTTTTCTTTTTTAAAACTATTAAAATTATAAAAGATTTTGGCCTTTAAGACTAATGATTTCCTGTTTTTCTTCCACAGTGAAATTAACTGAAAAGACAATTTAAAATTTAAGTATAAGTTAATAAAAACTATCTTATCAACTTTCTTCTCCTCAAAGATAAGTCAGGACAGAGGGAGAAAATGACCAAAGGAAAATTTCACAGTAAGGAATGACTTCCAGGAGGTATTTCTTTCCCTTTGAGCTTTGAGACTTGAAATATATTGTTTGCGAACCTAATCTTTAAATACAAAGAATACTGGCTGCTATGATTTCTTTGTATTCTCTGACTTGGTTTTGGTACATGTATGATGGAAGGACAGAGGTCTTATTAGAATTATGATACAAATATGATAAATGTGTTTATTTCCATATTTAAATATTCAAAAAGATGTACAAATACAAATTGGTCCTTAGAACACGTTGGAAAGACTAGGTTATTACTGCCTCTATTCTACAGGTGCTCACGTTCAACAAAGGCTAAATGCTAAAATGGGAAAACATTTATCTTGTTCTATATAGACAGCGTTCCTTAATTATGTGTGATTAATGCCTTTCTTCAAGCATTCAGCATCTGCTTCTGATCAGTGAAGGATAATCCAACTTACCAAATCATTGTTTTCTTCATTTATGTTCAATTCTTAGGTGGCCACTGGAGTCTCAAAAATGTATATTCTTTTTTAGATTGCCTCTGCATCAGTAGAAAATGGTGCTCCTAGATTCTTTGGATACACCTATTTAGAAAAGTTAAAACATGAGTATGCCGTAGAAATCTAACTTGGGAGCCAGAATTGGCAGGAGTCTGATTTAACAGTATGTCTTGGACGCAGCTGTGAAGGAGTGGTTATGCTGTAGAGATCTGCACCTTAGTTCCACTACTTGCCAAGTTGTAAGACCTCAACCTCTCTGCACCTTACTTCTCTCACTTGCAAAAGGGAATTATAGTTCCTATTTATATGGTTGTGAGGATTAAGTAAGATAAAACACTTACAGTATTTTGAACAATGTGTAGTATAGAGTAGGCATTAAAAATATCAACTATGGTCTGGGGAGATTTGGAGTGCTATTTGATTATAGACAAAAAAAAATCTAAATTAACAAATTATTTCTTTTTTCAATGTCATTTCACAGTTCTATAGCAGAAGTTAGAAATGAGTTTTTTTAGGTTGTGAGAAAATTCTCCAAATTAACACATTCATAAGTCAGAAAAGATTGTAGAAGAATCTGTAACGGTTACATTGGTTTAAACAGGGAAAAAGTCTTTTATCCCCTTCATGTAGAAAAAACACTGTATGCAATTAGTGTGTGTGCAGCACATCCTTCTTAGTATTCAGAAGCATTAAGCATTGATTAAAAGCATTAATTTCCAAGAGAGTTTTGAAAAATATTAGTCCCTAGAGTTCAGACTGGCTTTTCAGCAAATCCCTCAACACAGAGGGCATGGAATCTGAAATTGAGAGGATCTGAGTACCCAGATTTAGGCATAAACCTTGGTCAAGTTATTTAACCTCTCTGTGGTCACTTCTAGAATGGGCATAATGCCTCCCCAAAGGGTAGAATTAAATGAGTTAATGCATATCAGTGTGCTCTCGGAACCACATATTCAAATTTCTGTATTTTTGTTTTGTAAGTCTCTCTCCTATGAGGATATAAAATTGTTTAGCTGGCCAGACATATACTTATATTGAGAAACTTGAACAAATTCTGCAAAAAGTAATCAGTTATTACTATACTCACTGAAATTTGAATGAAAAGTTTCAAAATAATCATTTTGTGCTACTTACAAAAAATTGCACATACTACTTCTGGTCTCACTTAAAATTTTTTCTAGAGCACAAACTGATTTATGAACATGTGGCAACAACCTCATGCATATAAGTTTCTTCATATGTAAAAATGTGATTTTGTCATGTTTATAACTCATGTTTAAAATGGACTTTTCCAGATGACTTTTAGAAGTTACAGGTAAGTAATATTGCATGACCAAAGCACTGGTAAGCCAGAATAATTACTGGAGTGGAGCAGTGGTGTATTTTCTGCATACATTTCGCTTTAATATCTTGGTCACTCACAGCCATTCTGAGTGTGAAAGTATTTCCTTCCTGCTCTTAGAGGGCATGCTCTTGGAAAACTACCTGGTTTTAAATACTGACCTATTTCACAGTTCTTACAAATAGGTAAACTGTGCTATAATGTTCAGCAAATTTTCTATTTTGTGGTAGAGAAAACACCAAACAGACAAATATACATGCTGGTATGCAATGTCTCAATAACTGAATTTAAGTGAACACTGTGCTACAGACAAATCTTCTAGTCAGTAGAGTAATTCAGATATGCCTATTATCTTTATCCTTTGCCTTTTGAAAAACTGGCAAACGATAAAGCTAAGTACAGGGTTTAAAGGACTTAATGACATCATTACACATAGGAGTAGGCATTTAATATTAATGTAAAAAACTCACTTTTGTTTATTAAAAAGTGATAACATGGTAACAACACCTGGTTGTTGAAGTGCTTCTGCTTATTGTGATGTACTTGTATTCATGTTTTACTGGTGATAGAAATGTTGGCATGGAGAGAGATTGAGAGGAGGTGGGGACATACACACAGGTGATAGAAATGTTGGTATTGAGGGAGAGGCAGAGGGGGAAAGGAAGCTTCTCTCACACACACAGAAACACACAAACGTCTTTCAAGCTCAGGTTTCCATAACCGCAGAGTTGCTCTTTATGTCTTGGTGGGACTTGGTGCAGCCTTACCAGGAATTTGGAATATGGGAGACAAAAATGAAATAATTTGAAAAGACCATATTTCCTTATGTCTTATGTTATCCTGGAAAAGTTTTTTTAAAATAACTTTCTTTTAAAGGAAGTAATATGCCCAGCCCCCAATATTAAAACTGCCAAAAACAATACCCCTTACTATTGGTTATTAAAACAAGTTCTGCTTTTATAAGGTGTCTTGCCAATGGGTTTCAGCCCCAGGCAAGTTCACTATGGATCCACTGTGACCAAAGAAATGACAGTAGAACGTTCTTGGGGTGAAAGGGTTCTACCCAACTTTATTTCCACCGTGGCAGATCAATCACTAAAATCCCGTTCACTCAAAGCGAGTCTGCACGCAGCAAGCCGGTCTCTGCCTCTGGGCTTCTCTACCCGCACAGTTGTCTTCTGGACGTCTGTCCTCTGCTTTGCTCTCCTGCAGCCTTGCAGCTGTGCCACCATGTCGTGCAGAGCACTGGGCAGGGTTCTTTATATAGAGTCAATAACGACGCATTGCCCACCCATGTGTAGTGAGTCAGCTGATCAGGGCCAAGTGAGAATCCTGGCCATAGGAATTTTCATTTTATCTTCATAAAGATTATCTCAACCACTCATTCTGTCAAGTTTGGGTAAAACATTATTGTGGATAAAGTGAAGGTTTCTATGGCCAGGATTCTTACCTGGCCCTGGTCAGCTGACTCACTACACATGGGTGGGCAATGCGTCGTTATTGACTCTATATAAAAAGCTACACCCAGTGCTCTGGGCGACACGGTGGCACAGCTGGAACGCTGCAGGAGAGCAGAGCAGAGGCTGGAGTGGTAGCAGTGCAGAGGATGGAGACTGAGACGGCTGTGCGGGTAGAGTGCCTCGCAGGCTGAATCACTCTGAGTGGACAGGATTCTAGTGATTGACCTGCCACCGTGGAAATAAAGTTGGGTATAACCCTTTCACCCCAAGAACGTTCTACGGTCATTTCTTTGGTCACACTGAATCCATAGTGAACTTGTCCGGGGCTGAAACCGCTTAGCAAGACAATTATTATGTGTATTTCTTCTGCTTCTAACCTATCAGAACAATCATAGTGGGTATTTAGGTAGCCCAAGAGGTGCTGAATTGTTGGGGGTAATTTAAAACTTCGTCCTAAGGCAACATTTTGAGGGATCAAGGGCATTTTCTTTCCCACTGTAGTCCAAAGAAAGGCATTTTGTCCATCTATATTCCATTGCAGTTTGAATTGATTAGGATAGTTTCTATTTTCATTTAAAAAGTATTGAAAAAAACATGTCAGATTTACATTTCAAAAACGGATGACAGCCATTGTCCGGTCATATCATTTGCAACAGAAACTGGGTATTAAATTATCATTTTATAAAATACACAAGTGGCCACAGTTAAATAAAAACAATCATTCATGTATTACATGAATATCATAAAACAAGTAGTCTTTTGAAATGTATTTTATTTTTATTACTGCATTGCTTTTCAGTATTTGTGAGCACCTACTTTGTACTAGCACAGAGCTCCACATCAGTAATTTAAAGTAAAAATCCTGCCTTTTGAGTTTAGTGGGACCATGGAAAAGGCAACTTACCAAAGCTTTGATACAGGATACATACATGGGGTGTTGAGGGTGCATTTCTATTCAGTAATGTAAGAGAATGGTGACATTCTTAACTTTTTTGAAGGATGGAATGCGGGAAGAAGCTTAGAGAAACTTAAACGTAACATGTTGCACTGACAATGAGATGCCTATCAAAACTGCAAAAGACTACAGCTCTTGAAGCTTCAACAAGCTCCTGAAAAAGGATTGTAAATCTCCAAGTCTGAAATTTCCTAGTCTAACCATAAGCATTTAGTTCCCCAGCAACCTACGTTAAAAAAAAAAACAAAAAAAATTTCCAAGGTTTTTCCATATTACTTTGTTTTTCATTTCTGGGCGAGAAGTACTTTCTCGCTTAGTACTAAAAAATGGTTAGAGCTAGACTATTTTAACGTGTAATGCCAAGGAAGTAACTCCCAGTAAATTGCCTCCATTGAAACCTCAACACTGTTAATGTAGAACTATGCTCAGACCCATGCAGGTTTTTTTTTTTTAAACTGAAACTGCAGATACTTTTTTCTTTTCTAACCCTAAAGGCAATCTTTATCACGGCACTCGTGTCCCTCCATGACTAGGCCACTTGTCTTTTAAGTTCAACCAATGGGAGCTACAGCCTGGACAGTTAAACGAAAAGTCGTCCTTGGTGGAGATAAGCTCCACCTGTTGAAGTCTGTTAGCTTACTGGGCGGGGCAGCTGCTTCCCCGCAGGTAAGAATGGATTGCAAGCACTCTTTGTCTAGAGAAGAGCCTACCCCGGAGGAGCCTAAAGGCAATTAACTGTATACAGCCGCCGCATCTGCCCGGCTGCCTCGTCCCTGCCCGTCGAAGGGAGAGCGGACCGCTTGGCAGCCACAACTACACTGCACAAAAGGCAGAACCTGACTTGAGGATCCACCCGGCCTCGGTGGACTGCGAGGCTCGGCGCTAGGGGCATCCGCAGAGGGAGCGAGGGCGGCGCGGGCCGGGGGCGAGCCCAGGTGTGCGAGGGGGAGGAGGGCTCTGCCACGCGCCCAAGAAAGCCTGACTCATGTCGTGGTGGCGGGCTCCTGGGAACTGAAACTCGTGATGCTGTTGCTGCAGAGAAAGCCTCATTAGCCATTCGGCAGGCGGGGGACCACCACCCAGAGCGCGCACACCCTAGACCTGACGCTCCAGCAGCCTCAGCGGGTCGCTCTCCGCCGAGCCCCCTCGCCTGCCGCCTGCGCGCGCGTCGGCCGCCAACGAGAAAAGAGCGGACACACCTAACCTGCACGCGCCCCGCACCCTGCCCCACCCCCACCCAGGCGGAATCTTACAGGCCGATCGTATTTGCTCCCGCGGCCGAAATTCCCCACCCCACCACCTCGGCGCGCCTCCGCCAGCCTTCGGCAATTTCCGTCGGGAGACCTCGCGCTCGCCTCCTTCTCGGCCAGACCGGGCGCCTCCTTCTCAGCCAGACCGGGCTTTATGTCTGCGGCGCCTGGGCGCACGCGCAGACGCCATCTTCCCTCCTGCTGTTCGGCGTGTCCCCTCCCCCCAGCCGCCACCGCCTCCGCCTCCTCCTCCTCCTCTCGCCGGCGGTAGCCCCTCCTCCTCCTCCTGAGCTCGGGCGTTGGTCCCGCCTCTCCCGATGCCGCGAGAGACTGGGGGATACGGGAGAATCGGAGAAGAGCACTAGTAACAACCACCACAGCCCCCTCCCCGCCCGCCGCCCTCCCTCGTCACCCACCCGCTCACCCGCCCCATTTGCCGACACCGACCAACCCCACCTCTCGTTCCTTTGAACGGCGTCGGCTGCAGACGCTGCACCAGCCCGTCTGGCCACCAACGCCGCCGAGAAAGAAGCCGCCGCCGCCTGCGGCCCCCTCCCGTCCGGGCCGCGGGAGCAGCCGGGGAAGACGAGCCGGCTGTGGAGGAGGAGGACCAGCGCGGCTCGCACCCCTCCGCGCTGAGCGCGCGTCCCGCCGCCCTCCGGGGAGGCTCGGGCGCCGGCCCCTTCCTCCCCGGGGACGTGTGCCGAGCCGAGGCGCCTGCCCCGAGGGAGGAAAATGCTCGGGCTCCATGGCTGCCAGTGATGGAGCGGTCCCTGGGCTCCCGCCGCCACCGCCGCCGCGCCCCGGCCGTGCTCCGCGAGGACCCGGCGTCTCTGCGCGCCCGCCCGCGCCTCGTTGCTGGGCTCACCGTACTGGGCGCCCCGCCGCCGCCCGGCTCCGAGCCTCGCCGCCCCGGCCCCAGCCGCGGCCCGCGTTTCCGCACGGAGCAGCCGCCGCGAGCCCAGGGGGTTTGAAAGGGTCCGCGGGAGGTGGGGAGAGGGCGGAGCGGGGACCGCGGGGCCGGGAAGGGAGGTTCGAGCGACCCTGAGCTCGGGGTTCGCCGGCGGCGGCGGCGGCGAGGGGAAGGCGACGCTCTCGGCACTGGCTTCGTGCAGAGCGACCAAGAGGGTTTTGCAGCGACCGAGGAGGGGTTGAGGTGGGCGCTGAGTTGTCCGGAGAAGGTGGGCATTTCTCGGTTTTCCCACCCGCTCTTCTTACCTTCCCCCGTCCTTGCTCTCTCCGCTCCCGCTCCCCCCTCCCTCCTGCCCCGCACCCCACGTGAAGAGGAGTATAAAGGGGGGTGTGAGACTAGAGGGGAAAGTGAATGGTGAAGGATTGAAGGGGTCCCCTCTTCGGGTTCCCGGCCGCCCTATTCACCCTCGTTCATCCTCCCTTCCCGAATCTCGCCCTCGAAGGCAGGAGCGGCCGGCGCCTTCTGCTGAGGACTAGGAGGAGAAGGAGGAATCGCGCCGGGCGGAGCGTCAGGTCCCATTTTCCTCCCCGGCGTCTTGAATACAAAGATTACGGTGCAGAAGGAAATTGCACTCGCCTCCTCCGCCCCCCGGTACCCAACAATGCACCAGCCGCCCGAGTCTACTGCCGCCGCCGCGGCCGCTGCAGATATTAGTGCTAGGAAGATGGCGCACCCGGCAGTGTTCCCCAGAAGGGGCAGTGGTGGTGGCAGCGCCTCTGCTCTCAGTGCAGCAGGTACCGGCATTGGCAGTAATGCCACAGCTTCTGAGGATTTTCCACCTCCGTCGCTGCTCCAGCAGCCACCTCCCGCAGCATCTTCTACGTCGGGACCACAGCCTCCGCCTCCACAAAGCCTAAACCTTCTTTCGCAGGCTCAGCTGCAGGCACAGCCTCTTGCGCCAGGCGGAACTCAAATGAAAAAGAAAAGTGGCTTCCAGATAACTAGCGTTACGCCGGCCCAGGTCTCTGCCAGCATCAGCTCTAACAACAGTATAGCAGAGGACACTGAGAGCTATGATGACCTGGATGAATCTCACACGGAAGATCTATCCTCTTCCGAGATCCTTGATGTGTCACTCTCCAGGGCTACTGACTTAGGGGAGCCTGAACGTAGCTCTTCGGAAGAGACGCTAAATAACTTCCAGGAAGCTGAGACACCTGGGGCAGTCTCTCCCAACCAGCCCCACCTTCCTCAGCCTCATTTGCCTCACCTTCCACAGCAGAATGTTGTGATCAATGGAAATGCTCATGCACACCACCTCCATCACCACCATCACATCCATCATGGGCACCACCTCCATCACGGGCACCACCATACATCCCATACTGCTGTGGCCAGTACATCCATTCCTGGAGCACCACCCTCAAGCCCAGTAACCAGAAAACTCTATACAACTGGAAGCTCTGACAGTGGTACACCAGCTGCATCATCTTCTGCTGTATCATCGGGTGGCTCACCTGCATCTATAATGACTAATGTCAGTGCCCCGAGTACTACTGGCAGTATAGGTATAAATTCTGTTACTGGCACTAATACAATGAATAATATTAACATTACTGCTGTGGGTAGTTTTAGTCCTAATGTGACCAGCAGCATACTTGGTAATGCTAATATACACGCAAGCAATATTCCTAGTGCTGCTAGTGTGAGTGTTGGGCCTGGAGTTAGCAGCGGTGTTAATGTGAGTATCTTGAGTGGCATGGGCAATGGTACTATTTCTTCCTCTGCTGTTAACAGTGTTCTTAATGCAGCTGCAGGAATGTCTGTGGGATCCGTGTCAAGTCAGCAGCAACAGCCCACAGTTAACACATCAAGGTTCAGAGTTGTGAAGTTAGATTCTAGTTCTGAACCCTTTAAAAAAGGTAGATGGACTTGCACTGAGTTCTATGAAAAAGAGAATGTTGTACCTGCTGCAGAAGGTGTGGCGATAAATAAAGCAGTGGAAACTGTAAAACAAAACCCAGCAGAAGTGACTTCTGAGAGGGAGAGCACCAGTGGGAGTTCAGTGAGCAGTAGTGTCAGCACACTGAGTCACTACACAGAGAGTGTGGGAAGTGGAGAGATGGGAGCCCCTGCTGTGTTGGTGCAGCAGCCACCGGCTCTTCACGGTGTGGCCCTTCAGCAGATGGATTTCAGTAGCACTGGTCCACAGAGTATGTCAGCAGTTAGTATACCACAGAGTATTTCTCAGTCACAGATCTCACAAGTACAATTACCATCTCAAGAACTGAGCTATCAGCAAAAGCAAGGTCTTCAACCAGTACCTCTGCAAGCTACTATCAATGCTGCAACTGGTATCCAGCCATCACCTGTTAATGTGGTTGGTGTAACTTCAGCTTTAGGTCAGCAGCCTTCCATTTCCAGTTTGGCTCAACCCCAGCTGCCATATTCTCAGATGTCTCCTCCAGTGCAAGCTCCCCTTCCAGGGACACCACCCCAGCAGTTACACTATGGACAGCAACCGACTGTTTCTACACAGATGGCCCCAGTCCATGGCAAATCAGTGAGTCAGAATCCTCCTTCAGAGTACATACAGCAGCTGCCAATTCTTCAAACAGCAGTGTCCTCTGGACAGCCCAGTTCTGCAGGAGTGGGAGCAGGAACAACGGTGATTCCTATAGCTCAGCCACAGAGTATCCAGCTGCCAGTGCAGCCCACAGCTGTCCAAGCACAACCTGTAGGGGCAACTGGCCAGCCTGTTGGCCAGGCTCAAACAGCAGTATCAGCGGTACCTAGTGACAGTCAAGTTGCAAATTTTGGTCAACAAGCAAACATACCTACTGCAGTGCAGCAGCCCTCTACCCAAGTCACACCTTCAGTTATTCAGCAAGGTGCTACTCCATCTTCACAGATAGTTCCACCTGCTCAAACTGTGATTATTCATCAGGGAGTTCAAACTAGTGCTTCAAGCCTTCCTCAACAATTGGTCATGGCACCCCAAAGTACATTGTTAACTGTACCTCCCCAGCCACAAGGAGCAGAATCAGTAGCTCAAGGAGTTGTTTCACAGCAGTTGCCTGCAGTTAATCCTTTGCCTTCTGCTAGTAGTATTTCTGTTACCAATCAGGTTAGTTCAGCTGGTCCTTCTGGAATGCCTTCTGCCCCAACAAACTTGGTTCCACCACAGAATATAGCACAAACCCCTGCCACTCAAAATAGTAATTTGGTTCAAAGTGTTAGTCAACCTCCCTTGTTAGCAACTAATATAAATTTGCCTTTGGCACAACAGATACCACAAAGTTCCACCCAGTTCTCTGTACAATCATTAGCTCAGGCATTTGGAAGCCAAATCGAAGATGCCAGGCACCCAGCGGAACCCTCTTTAGTTGGCTTACCTCAGCCTATCAGTGGTGACAGTGGGGGAATGTCAGCAGTTTCAGATGGGAGTAGCAGCAGCCTAGCAGCCTCTACTTCTCTTTTCCCGTTGAAGGTGCTCCCGCTGACGACACCCCTGGTGGATGGCGAAGATGAGAGGTAAGACCATGCCATGTTTCTGAAGATGTTTAACAGATTCAAGGTTAACCTGTTCAGTGGCTGAATATATGCACAAAATTAGTCTGAAACACTATGTATTTTTTCACTTTTGTATATAAAAATGCATTTCTGTGGTAACTTTCCCAGAGTGGGAATGTTATGGAATGGTTTCTGAATGGATAGGATATGGTATAAGTAACATGAAAACAGTATTTGACAGAATAGTTACCCAGCATTAAGAATAGGTTCAGGGGCACCAAGTGGTTTTTGTTATTTACAAAATGCTTTGGAGAAAGAAGATTAATTACAAACATTTAATTTTTTGCTAACCCATATAAAAGTAAATTCTTTGAACTACTAAAATCTTTTATGATCATCTCTTGGGGCATGGGGTTGTGCTTCCCACATTTGTTTCTCCTTTACCAGACTGGACAGTCCTTTTCAGCTCTGTTTGAGCTTAGTCTGTGAAAGATAATGTCACCTGCTTTTCCTAGTCAGACATTATAGGAGAGATTACCTAATCTGAGTTATATAGGTTGCCCTCATACTGTAATCGACCAACTTCTGTGTCTTACTTAATAGCCATTTTATCTGAACTGAAAGGAATGGGAAACTTTAGAAAGCATTTTGTCCAGAAAGAGGGCATACACTGTCAAAATTGCACATATGCTGTACATTGTTCCTTTTGCATAGATCAAGGTGGTAGCCATTTTCAAGAGTAAAGAAAGAAAGTCTTAGAGGGTTGAATTTATAGAGGCATGAAAATCTCTTGCTAATCTACTCCACTTGTCCCCTTCTTCCTTTATGAAAAAAACAAAAAACCGTAAAACCTAAAGTAGAGTATCAAACCAATGTTTTCTTAGTCGGACTGGAAATAATTTACTAATCATACTGAATCAAATTGTGTCTTTGGAACTGACTAGCTAGAAAAGTTGTGAAGTTTCTCATAATTTACATTGCTTTAAACTAAGTTGATTTTTAAAGGAAAGGAGTGTTCTCACACGTTTGCCATTCTGAATAACCTTGATCAAAGTAATACAGGATTATGACAAAAGCTTTTCATTTTCACTGTGGAACCTTGAATAAGCTTAAAATATAACACTTCACTATCAGTTGTAGACTTGTGGTTGAAGTTTCATCAAACCAGTTGTAACATTTACATTCTAAATTAATGTTTGTGGTTTTCACTTGGGGAACATTGAGCATATTTCAAAAGAATTGCAATTTTAGAAAAAAAACAAAGGCCAAATGGTTCAGTAAGGTTTGCATGATTTTTTTCTGTTGCTTAAAAGATAAAAGGCATGGTTAATTGAAATAATTTAAAATCTTCAAGATTTTTATTATTTTTCTAAAAAGTCATATATTTGAAGTCTTGTTATCTAATCAGATGTATTCTGTCTGTATCATTGTGTTCAAATTGACTTCAAAGGGTAGAACTCTCCTAAGGTAGTTTCCTATGTACCTTAGGAACATTACTCCTAAGAGAGTAATGTTAAAGCTTTGTTTTTGTCATATCATGCCAATATTCACCTATATTTTAAAGAATTATTTACCCCAGATATTAGTGATTTCTAAATATAAACGGGGTGATCTAAATGAAGCCCCTATAAAGAACAGGTATCTAACGTGGATGCTAAATTCAGAGAAATAGAAGGTAGGTGATATACACAAATGAAAACCACGTGTTGATTTCTGACCTGCCATGATTTTAGTTAATTACCATTTGTAGTCTCCTGACTTTCTCCTTTTTTTCCTCCTCATGGTTAGAGCGTGATAGAGCTTTTCACAACTTGCTGTTCCAGACAATTAAAAGTCAGTGTTGCTGCTTACCACTAGGTTTTTAACTGAAGGGCTAGAGTCCCAGTTTAAGATGTTTGTACAAAATTAATTTTTCCACACAGTAACTGAGATGAGGAATAATTAGGGGGAAATTATGAAGAAAGGTTTGGAATGAAAGGGACAAAAGAGATACTGAGAACTGTGATGAAATATTGGTATAAAGTAACTTNCTTCTCGGCCAGACCGGGCGCCTCCTTCTCAGCCAGACCGGGCTTTATGTCTGCGGCGCCTGGGCGCACGCGCAGACGCCATCTTCCCTCCTGCTGTTCGGCGTGTCCCCTCCCCCCAGCCGCCACCGCCTCCGCCTCCTCCTCCTCCTCCTCCTCTCGCCGGCGGTAGCCCCTCCTCCTCCTCCTGAGCTCGGGCGTTGGTCCCGCCTCTCCCGATGCCGCGAGAGACTGGGGGATACGGGAGAATCGGAGAAGAGCACTAGTAACAACCACCACAGCCCCCTCCCCGCCCGCCGCCCTCCCTCGTCACCCACCCGCTCACCCGCCCCATTTGCCGACACCGACCAACCCCACCTCTCGTTCCTTTGAACGGCGTCGGCTGCAGTCGCTGCACCAGCCCGTCTGGCCACCAACGCCGCCGAGAAAGAAGCCGCCGCCGCCTGCGGCCCCCTCCCGTCCGGGCCGCGGGAGCAGCCGGGGAAGACGAGCCGGCTGTGGAGGAGGAGGACCAGCGCGGCTCGCACCCCTCCGCGCTGAGCGCGCGTCCCGCCGCCCTCCGGGGAGGCTCGGGCGCCGGCCCCTTCCTCCCCGGGGACGTGTGCCGAGCCGAGGCGCCTGCCCCGAGGGAGGAAAATGCTCGGGCTCCATGGCTGCCAGTGATGGAGCGGTCCCTGGGCTCCCGCCGCCACCGCCGCCGCGCCCCGGCCGTGCTCCGCGAGGACCCGGCGTCTCTGCGCGCCCGCCCGCGCCTCGTTGCTGGGCTCACCGTACTGGGCGCCCCGCCGCCGCCCGGCTCCGAGCCTCGCCGCCCCGGCCCCAGCCGCGGCCCGCGTTTCCGCACGGAGCAGCCGCCGCGAGCCCAGGGGGTTTGAAAGGGTCCGCGGGAGGTGGGGAGAGGGCGGAGCGGGGACCGCGGGGCCGGGAAGGGAGGTTCGAGCGACCCTGAGCTCGGGGTTCGCCGGCGGCGGCGGCGGCGAGGGGAAGGCGACGCTCTCGGCACTGGCTTCGTGCAGAGCGACCAAGAGGGTTTTGCAGCGACCGAGGAGGGGTTGAGGTGGGCGCTGAGTTGTCCGGAGAAGGTGGGCATTTCTCGGTTTTCCCACCCGCTCTTCTTACCTTCCCCCGTCCTTGCTCTCTCCGCTCCCGCTCCCCCCTCCCTCCTGCCCCGCACCCCACGTGAAGAGGAGTATAAAGGGGGGTGTGAGACTAGAGGGGAAAGTGAATGGTGAAGGATTGAAGGGGTCCCCTCTTCGGGTTCCCGGCCGCCCTATTCACCCTCGTTCATCCTCCCTTCCCGAATCTCGCCCTCGAAGGCAGGAGCGGCCGGCGCCTTCTGCTGAGGACTAGGAGGAGAAGGAGGAATCGCGCCGGGCGGAGCGTCAGGTCCCATTTTCCTCCCCGGCGTCTTGAATACAAAGATTACGGTGCAGAAGGAAATTGCACTCGCCTCCTCCGCCCCCCGGTACCCAACAATGCACCAGCCGCCCGAGTCTACTGCCGCCGCCGCGGCCGCTGCAGATATTAGTGCTAGGAAGATGGCGCACCCGGCAGTGTTCCCCAGAAGGGGCAGTGGTGGTGGCAGCGCCTCTGCTCTCAGTGCAGCAGGTACCGGCATTGGCAGTAATGCCACAGCTTCTGAGGATTTTCCACCTCCGTCGCTGCTCCAGCAGCCACCTCCCGCAGCATCTTCTACGTCGGGACCACAGCCTCCGCCTCCACAAAGCCTAAACCTTCTTTCGCAGGCTCAGCTGCAGGCACAGCCTCTTGCGCCAGGCGGAACTCAAATGAAAAAGAAAAGTGGCTTCCAGATAACTAGCGTTACGCCGGCCCAGGTCTCTGCCAGCATCAGCTCTAACAACAGTATAGCAGAGGACACTGAGAGCTATGATGACCTGGATGAATCTCACACGGAAGATCTATCCTCTTCCGAGATCCTTGATGTGTCACTCTCCAGGGCTACTGACTTAGGGGAGCCTGAACGTAGCTCTTCGGAAGAGACGCTAAATAACTTCCAGGAAGCTGAGACACCTGGGGCAGTCTCTCCCAACCAGCCCCACCTTCCTCAGCCTCATTTGCCTCACCTTCCACAGCAGAATGTTGTGATCAATGGAAATGCTCATGCACACCACCTCCATCACCACCATCACATCCATCATGGGCACCACCTCCATCACGGGCACCACCATACATCCCATACTGCTGTGGCCAGTACATCCATTCCTGGAGCACCACCCTCAAGCCCAGTAACCAGAAAACTCTATACAACTGGAAGCTCTGACAGTGGTACACCAGCTGCATCATCTTCTGCTGTATCATCGGGTGGCTCACCTGCATCTATAATGACTAATGTCAGTGCCCCGAGTACTACTGGCAGTATAGGTATAAATTCTGTTACTGGCACTAATACAATGAATAATATTAACATTACTGCTGTGGGTAGTTTTAGTCCTAATGTGACCAGCAGCATACTTGGTAATGCTAATATACACGCAAGCAATATTCCTAGTGCTGCTAGTGTGAGTGTTGGGCCTGGAGTTAGCAGCGGTGTTAATGTGAGTATCTTGAGTGGCATGGGCAATGGTACTATTTCTTCCTCTGCTGTTAACAGTGTTCTTAATGCAGCTGCAGGAATGTCTGTGGGATCCGTGTCAAGTCAGCAGCAACAGCCCACAGTTAACACATCAAGGTTCAGAGTTGTGAAGTTAGATTCTAGTTCTGAACCCTTTAAAAAAGGTAGATGGACTTGCACTGAGTTCTATGAAAAAGAGAATGTTGTACCTGCTGCAGAAGGTGTGGCGATAAATAAAGCAGTGGAAACTGTAAAACAAAACCCAGCAGAAGTGACTTCTGAGAGGGAGAGCACCAGTGGGAGTTCAGTGAGCAGTAGTGTCAGCACACTGAGTCACTACACAGAGAGTGTGGGAAGTGGAGAGATGGGAGCCCCTGCTGTGTTGGTGCAGCAGCCACCGGCTCTTCACGGTGTGGCCCTTCAGCAGATGGATTTCAGTAGCACTGGTCCACAGAGTATGTCAGCAGTTAGTATACCACAGAGTATTTCTCAGTCACAGATCTCACAAGTACAATTACCATCTCAAGAACTGAGCTATCAGCAAAAGCAAGGTCTTCAACCAGTACCTCTGCAAGCTACTATCAATGCTGCAACTGGTATCCAGCCATCACCTGTTAATGTGGTTGGTGTAACTTCAGCTTTAGGTCAGCAGCCTTCCATTTCCAGTTTGGCTCAACCCCAGCTGCCATATTCTCAGATGTCTCCTCCAGTGCAAGCTCCCCTTCCAGGGACACCACCCCAGCAGTTACACTATGGACAGCAACCGACTGTTTCTACACAGATGGCCCCAGTCCATGGCAAATCAGTGAGTCAGAATCCTCCTTCAGAGTACATACAGCAGCTGCCAATTCTTCAAACAGCAGTGTCCTCTGGACAGCCCAGTTCTGCAGGAGTGGGAGCAGGAACAACGGTGATTCCTATAGCTCAGCCACAGAGTATCCAGCTGCCAGTGCAGCCCACAGCTGTCCAAGCACAACCTGTAGGGGCAACTGGCCAGCCTGTTGGCCAGGCTCAAACAGCAGTATCAGCGGTACCTAGTGACAGTCAAGTTGCAAATTTTGGTCAACAAGCAAACATACCTACTGCAGTGCAGCAGCCCTCTACCCAAGTCACACCTTCAGTTATTCAGCAAGGTGCTACTCCATCTTCACAGATAGTTCCACCTGCTCAAACTGTGATTATTCATCAGGGAGTTCAAACTAGTGCTTCAAGCCTTCCTCAACAATTGGTCATGGCACCCCAAAGTACATTGTTAACTGTACCTCCCCAGCCACAAGGAGCAGAATCAGTAGCTCAAGGAGTTGTTTCACAGCAGTTGCCTGCAGTTAATCCTTTGCCTTCTGCTAGTAGTATTTCTGTTACCAATCAGGTTAGTTCAGCTGGTCCTTCTGGAATGCCTTCTGCCCCAACAAACTTGGTTCCACCACAGAATATAGCACAAACCCCTGCCACTCAAAATAGTAATTTGGTTCAAAGTGTTAGTCAACCTCCCTTGTTAGCAACTAATATAAATTTGCCTTTGGCACAACAGATACCACAAAGTTCCACCCAGTTCTCTGTACAATCATTAGCTCAGGCATTTGGAAGCCAAATCGAAGATGCCAGGCACCCAGCGGAACCCTCTTTAGTTGGCTTACCTCAGCCTATCAGTGGTGACAGTGGGGGAATGTCAGCAGTTTCAGATGGGAGTAGCAGCAGCCTAGCAGCCTCTACTTCTCTTTTCCCGTTGAAGGTGCTCCCGCTGACGACACCCCTGGTGGATGGCGAAGATGAGAGGTAAGACCATGCCATGTTTCTGAAGATGTTTAACAGATTCAAGGTTAACCTGTTCAGTGGCTGAATATATGCACAAAATTAGTCTGAAACACTATGTATTTTTTCACTTTTGTATATAAAAATGCATTTCTGTGGTAACTTTCCCAGAGTGGGAATGTTATGGAATGGTTTCTGAATGGATAGGATATGGTATAAGTAACATGAAAACAGTATTTGACAGAATAGTTACCCAGCATTAAGAATAGGTTCAGGGGCACCAAGTGGTTTTTGTTATTTACAAAATGCTTTGGAGAAAGAAGATTAATTACAAACATTTAATTTTTTGCTAACCCATATAAAAGTAAATTCTTTGAACTACTAAAATCTTTTATGATCATCTCTTGGGGCATGGGGTTGTGCTTCCCACATTTGTTTCTCCTTTACCAGACTGGACAGTCCTTTTCAGCTCTGTTTGAGCTTAGTCTGTGAAAGATAATGTCACCTGCTTTTCCTAGTCAGACATTATAGGAGAGATTACCTAATCTGAGTTATATAGGTTGCCCTCATACTGTAATCGACCAACTTCTGTGTCTTACTTAATAGCCATTTTATCTGAACTGAAAGGAATGGGAAACTTTAGAAAGCATTTTGTCCAGAAAGAGGGCATACACTGTCAAAATTGCACATATGCTGTACATTGTTCCTTTTGCATAGATCAAGGTGGTAGCCATTTTCAAGAGTAAAGAAAGAAAGTCTTAGAGGGTTGAATTTATAGAGGCATGAAAATCTCTTGCTAATCTACTCCACTTGTCCCCTTCTTCCTTTATGAAAAAAACAAAAAACCGTAAAACCTAAAGTAGAGTATCAAACCAATGTTTTCTTAGTCGGACTGGAAATAATTTACTAATCATACTGAATCAAATTGTGTCTTTGGAACTGACTAGCTAGAAAAGTTGTGAAGTTTCTCATAATTTACATTGCTTTAAACTAAGTTGATTTTTAAAGGAAAGGAGTGTTCTCACACGTTTGCCATTCTGAATAACCTTGATCAAAGTAATACAGGATTATGACAAAAGCTTTTCATTTTCACTGTGGAACCTTGAATAAGCTTAAAATATAACACTTCACTATCAGTTGTAGACTTGTGGTTGAAGTTTCATCAAACCAGTTGTAACATTTACATTCTAAATTAATGTTTGTGGTTTTCACTTGGGGAACATTGAGCATATTTCAAAAGAATTGCAATTTTAGAAAAAAAACAAAGGCCAAATGGTTCAGTAAGGTTTGCATGATTTTTTTCTGTTGCTTAAAAGATAAAAGGCATGGTTAATTGAAATAATTTAAAATCTTCAAGATTTTTATTATTTTTCTAAAAAGTCATATATTTGAAGTCTTGTTATCTAATCAGATGTATTCTGTCTGTATCATTGTGTTCAAATTGACTTCAAAGGGTAGAACTCTCCTAAGGTAGTTTCCTATGTACCTTAGGAACATTACTCCTAAGAGAGTAATGTTAAAGCTTTGTTTTTGTCATATCATGCCAATATTCACCTATATTTTAAAGAATTATTTACCCCAGATATTAGTGATTTCTAAATATAAACGGGGTGATCTAAATGAAGCCCCTATAAAGAACAGGTATCTAACGTGGATGCTAAATTCAGAGAAATAGAAGGTAGGTGATATACACAAATGAAAACCACGTGTTGATTTCTGACCTGCCATGATTTTAGTTAATTACCATTTGTAGTCTCCTGACTTTCTCCTTTTTTTCCTCCTCATGGTTAGAGCGTGATAGAGCTTTTCACAACTTGCTGTTCCAGACAATTAAAAGTCAGTGTTGCTGCTTACCACTAGGTTTTTAACTGAAGGGCTAGAGTCCCAGTTTAAGATGTTTGTACAAAATTAATTTTTCCACACAGTAACTGAGATGAGGAATAATTAGGGGGAAATTATGAAGAAAGGTTTGGAATGAAAGGGACAAAAGAGATACTGAGAACTGTGATGAAATATTGGTATAAAGTAACTTGATTATACCTGTTTTGAATTTACTACATGCTTAAGCCTTTGCTAGTTAACATCCAAGTTAATCAAAACTATAAAATTTGTGTTTCAGAGGTGTCCTTTAAATTCTGAAAAATCTAAATGTTTCACTCCTAAAATACATGTAAAGGTCAGAAAGGATAAACATGCATATTATTTTCTTTCTTGTGTCTTACTATAGATTATTTATCACTGTAGTTTGGAAAAAGAAATGTTGTTAAACTTAAATTTGCCCTTGGAAGGGAACTTGAGAATACCTACAAGAGAAAAAAATGATAATAAAAAAAATTCTTTTTACATTTTCTTCCTATGTTCGCTTCTGTGTCACTTGCATCTTCTGGTCTTGGTGAACTATTATGGGAGAAAGGGGTACATATAATTTCAATATTATGATTTAGAAAACATGTCAACAAAACTTTCTGGTGGTAGGGCACATAAAAGGTGGTTATTTTTTAGTTGTCTTTTGAAGTAATATTTTAACACTTTAAGTATTATAATGTTTATGAGACAAGTGGAAAGTGCTTTCAGTTGGCCACTGGGAAAGACTGAAGATATGAAACATGGATCAGGCATTAAAATTATCTCATTTAAAAAAAATCATTCTTATTATGTCTTAATGTCTTATTTTAGAGTTTAATATGAACTTACCTTTACAATGCAGGATACATACAGGTATTTCACACTGATATAGAGTCTTTTGTGCTTTGTGATTATTATTACAGCCTCATGTGAAATTGGTCAAACTTCTGTTCACCCTTGAAGGCTCAGCTCAAATGTTCTCTCTGAAGCATTGTTTTCACCCAGGGAATGGTGTTTCCTTGGCATTTTTTAGTGTCCCTCTATTTAAGGCACTGCACACATTCAGTTATAATTATGTTTACTTATCTTCCTCCACAAGATGAGTTCCTCAAGGGCAAGAACTATGCATTTTTGAACAAATTAATGAGCTAATCTTTCACGTCTTTTTCTCTCATGATTTGAAATTTATGTTGTCTCTCAACTTAAGCATGATTTTAGGGATGCAGGGTCATATAATTTATGCAACGAATTGAAAAGAAATGAATAAAAACACTTGCTGTTTGTTCTTTTACCTCATCATTTCTTGAGGTGATATCTCTCTACTGAATGCATTGCCTCTCATATAGTAGGCCCTCAAATATTTATTCAAGAGGAATGAGAGTTTTCTTATCTATAAAACAGGAATAATACTCATTTTGCTTACTTCGGAGGATGGTAGCATCAGATAAAATACTTTAACTGTAAAATACTAAATTGTAAGTTTTAGTTTTTACTTAGGTTTTACATGAGCAATTTAAAGAGTCAAAATAGTTCATGGTTTTCAAACGAAAGCTTCCTGGCCCCTTCCTTTCCATTTACCCTTTCCCAGATGCAATCACTTTCACCTCTTTTAGATGATTATCATGATAATTATCTTCTGGTCTCTAAATAACATGCTTGTATTGCTTCTGGATATGCAGCATAGCTAGACGGTTAGGAACTGGACTCTGGAATTACACTGATTGTTTGATCATTCCTCAGTCATTTACTAGTTTTATGTAATATTGGGCTACTTAACCATTTTATGTCTGTTTGCTTATTTTTAAAAATGGGGGTAATAGTACCTACTTCATGGTTGTTATAAGAATACATGAATTTGGAAAGCACTTAGAACTGTGTCTAACACATATGCCCTATATAAGTGGGTGTTAAATGAAACACTCCTTGCTTTTGTTATTGGCTTTATTAACTTCCTGTGTAGAAAATAATGATTTAACTTTGCTGTCATTACCTACTCAGCTGGTTCCCCATCCTCTTAATATTATGATTGCATCACTGTTGATTACTCAGTAGTCTTACAAAGTATGAGTACTGTTCCTGGCCTGGACTATGTCTGGCACTTGTCTCCCTCCTCTCACCCCCACCCCAGCTATCTAGTATATTACAGTATACTACTATATATAAAGTATATGTTTTCTATACTATTGAGCATATGAAAATGTTAGTGTGTCCCCTCTCCAAGTTTTCATTTGTCAACATAGTGTGTTTCCTTTCCATTTTTGTATGTTTTGGGTTTTAACTTTTGTAATAGAGCCTGTCCTCAGAGGTCTGGTAATTCTTGGCTGTCTGCTTGCACTTAAGTGTAGGAGACTAAATAGCTGATAAGAAATTATCAGTGAGTTTTGTCCTGTTAGCTTTACTGTAAGGTTTATCTGGCTGAAGCTCATTGTCTATCCCCCACCCCCTTAGTTTTCTCTATTTACTTCAACACCCTCTCTAGTTTACTTAATATTATATCAAATGTCTCTTCAGATGTTCAAACATACCAGGTATTACCAATTTTATCTTCCTAAGGAAGTTTTTCTGATATCCCTGTTACCTTCATTCTGAACTGAATACCTTGTAGACTTGGTACACAACACTTAACTATGGGATTCCCTTTACTTTCTCTTGTAGTTGGATATCCATTTTCCAGTAGCTTATGTCATGTTCATTCTTGGTTTCCAGATGTTTTAAAATGGCTCTGGTTTACCTTGCCACTTGTTTGATTCTTTGGTTAGGTAAAGAGTACCAAATTGGAAATTGTGTTATTTTATAATTTTACTCCATTGCTTTCTAGCATCCATATTGTTTTTGAGAAGTGTGAAGCCATTCTGATGCCTCATATATTGTATGTGACCTGTGTGTTTATATTTTGTTTTTCCTTTTTTTTTCTTGTTTTCCTTTTTTCCTTCCCCTTTTTTCCCCCCTCTCATTCTTTAAATCTCTGAAAGCTTTTACAATTGTATCTTTCCAGTGTTCTGAATTTTTACAATGATGGATCCTTGTGTTGGGTCTCTTTCCAGCCATGGTGCTCAGTATTGGTGCCCTTTCAGTCTGGAAACATCTTTTAAATCTGAGACTTTTTCTGAAATAAGGTTGTTGATTATTTCTTTCCATTTTCTGTCTCCTTTTCCTTTCTCAAACTCCTCTTATTAGAA